AAATGTTAGCTTTTAAAGGTTTTTAAAGCGTTGCCTATGCATATTAAAAATTTATGCAGTTTGTCGCCATTTCATGGGGCATGCGCAGTTTTAAAGCATGTCATGTTTGGTATCTATTTACTTGGCATACCATCATCTTTTATATCTTATCAAATAATTGGCCAATATATTGTGTTTTTGTGCATTAAAAGTAAAAAAAGTGTATTTTATAAATAAAAATTGCTTTTGAAAAATCGCTGCGTGAGTACTATGTGCCATATAAAATTGTAGTACCCACCATTTTATTCACTAGGGTGTCTGCTTTAAAAAAATATATAATGTTTGGGGGTTTAAATTAATTTTCTAGCAAAAAATACTGATTTTTTTCATGTGAACAAAAAGTGTCAGAAAAGGCTTGATCTTCAGGTGGTTAGAAGAGTGAGTGATGTGTGGCATAAACTTCTAATACTGGGCATAAAACGCCCCCACCCCCCAAAATGACCCCTTTTTGAAAAGTATACACCCCAAACTATTTGCTGAGAGGCATGTTGAATCAATAGAAGAATTTATTTTTTTACCACAAGTTTTTGGAAAATGACAACATTTTTTTTTTATTTACACAAAATTGTCACTCAAATGATTTACTGCTCACACATGCCATGGGTATATGTGGAATTACTCCCCAAAATACATTCTGCTACCGAGTATGGAGGTACCACATGTGAGAGATGTTTTGGCAGTCTAGCCAAGTACAGGACCCCAAAATCCAATAAGCACCTTCAGGCTTTTAAAGGACTTTATTTCCTCATTACACTTCCTGACTACCTATCACAGTTTTGGAGGCCCTGAAATGCCAGGATAGCATCTAACCCCCCCAAATGACCCCTTTTTGGAAAGTAGACACCCCAAGGAATTTGATAAGAAGCATGGTAAGTATTTTTCAGATCTCATTTGTTGCCACAAGTTTTTGGAAAATGAAGAAAAAAAAAACAAAAACATATTTTTTCTACTCTTTTTTTTATATTTCAAAACCTTGTGAGAAAAAATGAGATCTGCAAAATACTCACCTTGCCTCTTTTTAAATTCCTTGGGGTGTCTACTTTCCAGAAAGGGGGCATTTGGGGGGGTTTGATGCTATCCTGGCATGTCAGGGACTACGAAACTGAGATAGGTATTATTGAGGAAGTGAAAAAAGAGAAAGTTACGCACCTTCAGGCTTTCAAAGTGGTCATTGGATTACAGGTTCCTGTATGTGGCTAGGCTCCCAAAAAGTCTCACACATGTGGTATCCCCATACTCAGTAGAAGTAGCAAAAATGTATTTTGGGGTGTAATTCCACATATACCCATGGCTTGTGCGAGAAATAAATAATTTAAATGACAACTTTGTGTACAAAAAAAAAATTTTTTTTTGTCATTTTCCAGAAACCTGTGGAAAAAAAAATCTTACATGGACTCAATATGCCTCTAAGCAGATAGCTTAGGGTGTCTACTTTCCAAAAAGGGGTCATTTGAGGGTGTTTGTACTATCCTGGTATTTTAGCACCTCAAGAAATGTGATGGGCAGTCAGAAAGTAAAAGCTGTGTAAATTCCATTATCTATACCATAGTTTGTAGACGCTATAACTTTCACACAAAGCAATAAATATACACTTACTGGGATTTTTTTAACCAAAAACATGTAGCAGAATACATTTTGGCCTAAATTTATGATGAAATTTTAGTTTTTTTCGATGTTTTTTATGACCGAAATGAGAAAAATATTGTTTTGTTTTGTTTTTTAATTTTTTCTTCAAAACTCTTTTTGTTTATAGCACCAAAAATAAAACGTGCACAGGTGATCAAATACCACCAAAAGAAAGCTCTATTTGTGTGAAAAAAGACATAAATTTCATTTATGTACCGTGTTGCATGACTGCGCAATTGTCCGTTAAACTAGCGCAGGGCTGTATAGCAAAAAAATGGCGTAAATTGCAGTATCTATGCCATAGTTTGTAGACGGTATAACTTTCACACAAAGCAATCAATATACACTTATTGGGATTTTTTTTACCAAAAAATATGTAGCAGAATACATTTTGACCTACAAAAAAATAAAAAGCGCACAAGTGATCAAATACCACCGAAAGAAAGCTCTATTTGTGTGAAAAAAAGGATGTAAATTTCGTTTGTAAGCAGCATTGCATGACCGTGCAATTATCAGTTGAATTAGTGCGGCGCCAAGTAGCAAAAAGAGGCCTGGTCATTAAAGGGGGTAAATCCTCAGGAGTGCAAGTGGTTAAAAAGTGTGTGCTTTGTTTGTTTACATTACATTGATTTGAAAATGAGTAGGGTACTATGTACCCCTCACACATTCACACGGATGGGTCAATATCTGAGGGAGCTATTATTTTTAAATAGCGCTTCCAGATTCTGATAAGTCCTCTGTCTCAATATACCCAAAACAGCTGGGCCATCAATATTGGGACTAAATGCTTTTCCAGGAGGGTTCCTCCTAGCAAGGTAATCTCCTCATGCTGAGGGCATGTGGCCTTGTATGTTTCAGGAGGGGTGGTGAGCATTTCATCCCACTGTTTCCTGGCCAGGCTGCATGCTCAGGTAAGGCGAGGTTCACACTTATGAGGATTTCAGTGCATTTCACAGTTTTCAGAAATGCACTACAGTCAATTTAACATGATTTCCTATGGATCTAGTTCATATCTGTGCATTTTGAGCTGAAGCAGATTTTTGAAAGGGTCAGGGACTTTTACCGAAGCAGATTTTTGGATGTAAAAGACTTCAATGGAACCACACCAAAAATGCAAGTATTGCGTTTTTATGCATGTTGCATTTTATGCTTTGTGTGACTTTAAGCTGACTGTGAAGGAGCAGGTGGCCACCAACATCCTTAACAATGAGTAAACAACATGGTCATTAAGGAGCGGGTGGCCACCACGTTCTTAACAACCGGCCCGTGTGTACACCAGCCTGTCCGACACAAGCCAACTGAGCGCCTGGCTTCTGTTGAACGAGCATGCTGGAAAACCAGCATCTGATCGGCATCCAATCAGTGCTAGCAGCCAATGGCTGCGAGTGCTATCCAGTGTGTTCTTGTGTGGGGAGGGGGCAGTCCCCCTGTCAGAACACAATAGCTCAGTACTAACTATTCGAGCTCTTCAGTTTTTTGAGTTGAAAGAAAAAAAAGAAAAAAGAAAAAAAACTGATAGTGTTTACCTGGCATTAGAAGGCTGCATTTTATTTTACAAAAGTTTTTTCAAGACATTACAAGGATGTCATGAACAGGAAGCAAAATCTAATAAAGGGGTATAAATGAAATATCAGTGTAAAGCATGCCCTGTTCCCTGCAGCCCCAGAAGCACATTGGGGACTAGTAGGCTGTATTTTAAACCAAAGAGACAACAGCCAGATTTTATTTTAAAAAATCAACATGAAAATATTTTTTTCACAATAAAAGGACACCAAAATATTGTAGCTTGATGTATACAATATTTAAGCACTTCTATCAGGGTGTATTTTGAGCACAAGAGAAAATCAAATAGCTTTTAATAAAAAAAAACAAAAAAAACTTTAGAATGTACAGTATTATTTCATAGAAAAAAAACTGTAGAATATTGTACTAACTCCATGTAGAGAATGTATTCCTTTTTTCATAGGGAGACACCAGGTAGCTTTTAAGGAAGACATTAAGCTTACAGTGTAATTATTTCTCAGATAAAAAGCCAGCGATATATTGTAATGACTCATACAGTGTTCAAGCACTTTTAGTATGCCACATTTTGAACAGGAGGGGCATCAGATTTTATCCCAAATATCAGCACTGGAGTATATTTATTTTATACCAAAAGAACAGCTAAATGTTGTACTGGCTCCATATACAGCAAAAATATATATATGTATTACCTGACTACAGTTTAGAACAGGTGAAAAACCAGGAAGCTTTTATAAAAAAAAAAGGTAAGGGTTTATAATTTTACTGAAAACCAAGAAAAATATTGTACTGATTCCATGCACAGTATGTAAGAATGTTTATAAGGCCACAGTGTAATAGGGCAAGACCACGCAAGTTCTAATGAAAAAAATACAATTAAAGTGCACTATTTCATAGAGACAGTAGTCACAAATATGTTTGATTGCACAAATTCTCACTGATGGTCCATTGCTGCAAGTGCTGCTGCTGCAGAATGGCCAATGTTGAGTTGCAGTACATGGATGTATTGTATACTGTAAAACTATTCAGGCCTTGACCACTCAAAGTGGCTGCACACTACTCTGGCCTTCCAAATGACATCCTGGAAACCTGGTTACCGGACTAGGAACAGCTGCACTGCTGGGCTGAATATGTGCACTCAGAAAAGCATAGGTGTGAACTCTCCTTGCCAAAGGGTGGACATCAGGTTGGTGCCATTGCCACTTATACCCTGGTCTGGAACAAGTTGTGTGGGGTCAGTCTTCTTTTGGCTTGCCCCTAAAGAGCTGACATAGACTCTGACCTATTATTATTATTATTATACAGGATTTATATAGCACCAACAGTTTGCTCAGAGCTTTACAATATAACGGGAGAAAATACAGCTTCAATACAGTTCAATACAAGAGGGAAAGGAGGGTCCTGCTCCTTGGAGTTTACAATCTAAATGACCTAGTGTGGCTCCTGTTCCCCAGGCCTACCAGCTGCATAACAGTATGGTGTTTTATCTAGGCCATTGCATAGGCTCTCGGTCAGTTTTTGAGGCTAGTGGTTCTAATGAGTCAAGAGAGGAGGCCATTGAAGAGGAGGGGATAGAGGTGAAAGAGCTGTCACCAACTTGCAGAACATGAGTTGGCACTACCCTCTCCAGTGGTGTGCCTCATCTGACATCTTTCTTAGCCACAGAAGTCACAAGCAAATTTTTCCAGTGTGGGGTCTATTCATAGTGAACACAGAGGTGGGTACACTTTATTATAGAACTCTAACTCACTGTAATTTGTAGGGATGTTTCACAGTACAGAACAGTGAACATAGATAGAATAGACTTTGTAACCACTGCATTGGAAGCCACTATAATAACTTTATATATCAGAGGTTAACTGCACTTTACATAAATTATCCCTGACTGTAAAACAACACTTTGTCAGCTTTCCCTATGCAAGTCTCTCTCCACACCAGGGGCGGACTGACCATTTGGAAACTCGGGCACTGCCCAAGGGCCCGGGGTCAGTAGGGGGGGCCCCATGAGGTGCCCCTGGTACCTTTTTCATAGGCTTTTTTGAGTTTAAGCAAGGACACAGGGGCCTCATGATCCCCTATTGCCCAGGGGCCCCATGAGTTGTGAGTCCGCCCCTGCTCCACACACAGACTTGCTAAAGACAGCTGCAAACACTAACTTTTACAGAGAAGGAGCTGGCTCATAAGAAAATCCCCATTATTGTCCCTTCTATGTCACCTGATCAGAAAAAGTGCAAAAGCCAGGAAGTGCATGATTTGTTGCTCTGGGGGCAATTGGTCACATTGGTTTACAGTTTCCCAAATTACAAATCAGTGGAGTTCGAGTCGAGCTCATGATAAACCAGAATCCAAAGCTCATTCATATTCATTTGCATGGGAATGGTAAAAAATGTTATGGGATAATTGGGGACAAATCTTTGAACTACTCATAGGAGCTACATTGAAATACAGTGTAATAATAATATTAATATTATTATTATACAGTATTTATAAAGCGCCAATGGTTCGCTCAGCGCTGTACATTACAAAGGGGGACAGAACAATACCAATACAATGCAAAACATGAGGGGATCGAGGGCCCTGCTCTTTCAAGCTTACAATCTAGGAGGGAGGGGATAGTATTACAGGAGGAGATAGCTGTGGGGGATGGAGTGGTAGGAAGAGTGGAGGAGGTCGGCAGGTTAGCAGGGGGTGGGGTAGGATTTCCTGAAGAGATGGGTTTTCAGGGTGCGCCTAAAGGAGAGGAGAGTAGGTGATAATCTGATGGGTTGGGGCAGGGAGTTCCAGAGGATGGGTGACACCCTGGAGAAGTCCTGGAGGTGGGCATGGGAGGAGGAGACCAGGGAACTAGAGAGAAGGAGGTCTTGTGAGGAGCGGAGTGTGCGTGCTGGGCGGTACTTGGATATTAGGTCAGTGATGTAGTACGGGGCAGTATGGTGGACAGCTTTGTACGTCAGTGTTAGGATTTTGAATTTGATCCATTGTGCAATCGGAAGCCAGTGGAGGGATTGGCAGAGGGGGGTGGCGGAGATGGAGCGGTTGGAAAGGTGAATGAGTCTGGCAGCCATGTTCAGGATCGACTGAAGCGGGGATAGCCAGCGGCGAGGCAGGCCATTGAGGAGGGAGTTGCAGTAGTCGATTCGTGATATGATGAGGGAGTGGATGAGCTGTTTAGTGGTTTCTGGGGTTAGGAACGTGCGTATTTTGGCGATGTTGCGGAGGTGGAGTCTGCACGAGTTTGTTAAAGATTGAACTTGGGGCTGGAAGGATAGGTTGGAGTCCAGAATGACACCAAGTACTCTGTAATAATAATTAGACTAATTTATATTTCAGAGGCTCTGTCAATGCTCCTGCAACAGATACAAGATTTTGATGGTAAAACTGACACTTGCCTTTAATACTTAAAGGATAAGCAAATGTATAATTTTTTGTGTTAGGAGCCTCCAAAGCATGGCACCAACGATCTGCAGATAGCTGAAGCCATGCAGGTCTCCTGCAGACTGTCAATGTGTCCATTTGCTCATACATCCCGTACGAGCAAGCCAATACTTCTAACAGGAAGAATCCGGTGGCTGGGCGGTTGCTCGGGCGGGGTGTCCTGGTGTGGGTGGATGTGGGTGGCTGGGGGTGGAGGAGGGGTGGCCCCAGGGGGAGGCACCCGTGGGTGGGAATGGGCGGGTGCGCGTGGGGGGCCGGGGGGCAGTGCTGTGGCGGGTAGTTGGGAGCGCGGGCAGGAGGCTGCGGACTAGCTTGTGACATATAGGATTATAACTTTTTTTTTTTTCTGTCATTGAACTGGATGGACTTTTGTCTTTTTTCAGTCAGACTAACTATGTAACTATGTAATAAATTTACCACGGTGCTCCACAGCTCCGTGGTAGTTCATTGAGGACTACAAGCTGACAGTCGCTAAGGCTGTCGAGACTTTCAGAGGACTGTGAGTGAATGATGCGGCTGTATGGGCGGAGCCCCTCACGGCCGCCCTGTTTTTGAAAAGTGACAGCTAGTATGGGGAACTTCTCCTGGTACTTCTGTCATAGGGAGAGGGGGGCAGCGGGTGACGGCTGCAGGATCAGGAACATATTACATGTTCCACCCTAAAAACGAATGAAACATGTAACATGTTCCCAAAGGTGAACTTATCCTTTAAATAAGGAATAAGAGGGCTCATTTAAATTGTAAATATGCAGCCTAAGAATTGTCACATTTATGCAGAAAAAAAATACATCAAGATCTATTACATTTGCTTCAGACAATAGTAGAATATTTTATCACCTCTAAAATTGCAACAGACCATGAACTACTTGGCCAAACAAGATACAGAAAATAAAGCTTTTTACGCTATTTCCAGTAAATGCGTGCAGTACTTTTTATCAGCATCATCATTTCAAGAGTGTGAGCTTAAAGAGTATGTAAACGCAACATTTCATATCCCTGTTTTGTGCCTGCTGTACCATATACAGTTCCTGTATGAAACCATGAGGCAAACAAGCCATTGACCTTGTGTGAAATTTTTCAAGGGGGATGGCAACCCTTCTAAGAAGAGGGGTAGAAGGGTAGAAGAGGCACCATGAGTGATGGTGTCACTATGGGGTGTGGGGGCCTGCCAGAGGGGTGACACCAGGCTTGGACTGGCCATATGGGGACGCATGTCTTAACCACTGGCTGGTGTGTGTCCCCAGTGCTAAGGAGGCCACCTGCAGTGCTAAAAGGATGGACTAGCCACTACTGGATGGGCTATTAACACCCAGCTCCTCTTCTAGGAGTATTCTAATCCCCACACAACCATGGCTACAGCTATAGCCAGCTCTTTGGTCTGACAGGAGAGACAGTCCAGGGAGTCCAACAGTGACTGGGTGTGTACCACCAAAAGATGCAGCAGTCCAAGCAAGGAAGGCCAGTTTATGTATGAGAGGCATGTTCTGGGGTGTTCCCACTTCTGCAGTGGGAGGCAGAGGCCAGAGAATACCAGGTCAGCGCATGACAGCTACTCAGTCCATGCATTCATCCATCCATCCTTCCAATCATCCACCCATCCCTCCATACATCTGTCCCCCTATCCACCCTTCCCTCCTTCCATTCATCCACCCATCCACCCATCCATACATCTGTCTATTCATCCATCCTTCCATCCATCTGTCCCTCCATCCATCCATCTATCCCTTCATACATCTGTCCCCCCATCCACCCTTCCCTCCTTCCATTCATCCACCCATCCTTCCCTCCATACATCTGTCCCCTCATTCATCCTTCCATCCATCCACCCATCCCTCCATAAATCTGTCCCCCCATCCATTCTTCTATCTATCTGCCCATCCCTCCATACATCTGTCCATTCATCCATCGATCCACACAACCATCCATCCATCCCTCCATACATTTGTCCCCCAAACACCCTTGCCTCCATCCATCTGTCCCCCCCCCCCCCATACATCTGAAGTTTACAGATGAAGGAATGGATCTTAAACAGGAAGTGGTAGGACAACTTTAGATGAGGAGGGCACCTAAGGCAGCACAAAACCAAAATACACCACTGTGAAAAGGCATCCTGTTCTCTTTGTATTGCTTCCTCTGTGTGAAATTCCTGTTGTTCCTGCTAGTCCCATTGCTTTCCTATTAAAAATTGACCACACACAAGCAAAAAAACACAACATGGTCTGTTCTCCAGCCTTTCACTAGGAAGTTCAGTATATGCTGTTGCACCTCCTCCAGCTCTTATTTTTCTTTATATCAATACACAAATGTTTTTCCTTACATTTCTATTTTAAACTGAATGGGTTGCTTTACAAGGTGAAGGTTTACATACACTGTACTTTAATGGCAAAGTAAAGAAGACTTTTGTACAGTCATTGTGATCATACTGGTCATAAACATTACCTAGTAGAGATCCTACATGGTCTAACATTTATATGTCAATTGTGAATGTGTGTCAATTGCTTCCCTATAGGTTACATTACATTATTTTACCCAAAATTAGTACTTTTTTGAATAGGTTCGCATGTGTACACCACTACAATTTACTTATCCTCAAATACAAAATGTTTTATTCATACACAATTCTATTAAGATAAAATGACATGAAAAAGATAGGGGCCTCCAATACCCCATTCATTTACATAAAATAGCTGTGGAAAAGCTTAGCAATTACCTTAAATGGATACATAAATATCTATATGTGATTTTTTGTTGGATATCTATTTGGAGTCTGTGTGTTTTGTGGATCCCTTATCCGCTTTTTCAGGACATAGATATTCTTTACTGTTACTGTTTCTGATGTTTTCTGTTTCATGTATAGAAATGAAGACACTACAAGCTATTAGTCTGAGGAATCATGTTAAATTGCATAACTACATCTTGGTCAAATGTAAGATAGCCAACAGGAAACAAGATGTATAAACAATGCAATATTATCATAAACAAATAGAGTCACTGTAATTTTTTTATTAACTCCATAACATCTCCCCTTTTTTACATTCAATCCAAAAATGTGTAAAGAACCTAAAACAGATCCAGAACAGTCTTAAATATAACATACTGTGTTACTGATAGATACCCTACAGATTAAATCTATTTGGTGGTCTTGAGGAACTTACTGGTATATGTGGCTTCATTATGTCATGCTCATGTTATCCTTCAGATATGACAGTAGTATTGTCTCTGCCTTGCTTACGTGGTCCCGTAAGACTAGGGGCATTGAGCTCCTTGGGGGGATAGTGTGCAGGATGCACATAGGCTTGTGCTGGGAGTTGTTCTGTCACTCGCAGGTCCACTCAATTGCGGCGCAAGAGACTGCCATTCACATCCCCAAGATAGGAGAGGAGCTGCCCTCTGAACACAGGTACCCAATTTCCAGTGACCAGTCCTGTCACCAGGCAGCAGCTTCATACAGATCGGCTCCCCAATGCTTAGTTCAGGTAAGTCTTTGTTTATCACATTGTTCAGTCTCCTTGACATGAATCATTGTGCAGGACTACTGTCCATGCCTTCAGTTGGCTGTTCCTCCAATGTGAAATGACTTTCCATGGGTCATTACCATCATAATGGGACTTCTTGCAAAGTTCTTTACTATCTTCACAGCTGATTCTGCTTTGC